TCAAAGTTTACACTCTACTACCACAAGGGACGCGGGTGGCACTGTGGGTTAAACCTCAGCGCCTAGGACTTGCCGATCGCATGGTCGGCGGTTCGAATCCCCGCGGCGGGGTGCGCTCCCGCTGCTCGGTCCCAGCGCCTGCCAACCTAGCAGTTTGAAAGCACCCCCAGGTGCAAGTAGATAAATAGGGACCGCTTACTAGCGGGAAGGTAAACGGCGTTTCTGTGTGCGGCTCTGGCTCGCCAGAGCAGCTTCGTCACGCTGGCCACGTGACCCGGAAGTGTCTGCGGACAGTGCTGGCTCCCGGCCTCTAGAGTGAGATGAGCGCACAACCCTAGAGTCTGTCAAGACTGGCCCGTAAGGGCAGGGGTACCTTTACCTTACCACAAGCCAGCTTATACAAATGTGATTGATTGATTTTTAATTGTTATTAAACTGAACCCCATTGAACAGAGCCTTTCTAACCACCCTGCCTTTCCATGCAGAACTCACAGAAGAGCAGTGGCCATGTGAAAAACAAAAACTTTTATGTAGTTGAAAAAATTACTGTGCTTGGAGTGACTTGGGAAAATAATTCACCTAGGCTTATCCCTCACAATAAGAGATCCTCCTACCTCTCCACCACTCCTCTCATCACCTTTCCCTCCTTGAGTTCAGGGTAATTCCCTAGTCTGCATGGCTTCACTTTTTTGAAATGATGCAGTAGATGATTTATTTAAAATGGCAAAATGTGGAATTGGGGGGCACCTCTGCCCACAGAGCTTTAGGGATCCCTTGATCTAACTGTTAACAGTTCAATATTAAAAATTCATCTTTTGGGGCTGTGTGATTCAGGCCGCACACAGTCCTAGAAGCAGGTGTGATTGTGAAATTTACCTGAATTGGAGGCTGAATGGAGAAGCATACCTAAGCCGCACTGAGCCCTTTCTCTGAGTTATAAGTGCAATACATCAGAATCAAGGGTGTTATAGTGGTTAGAATGTCAGATGAGGACTAGGGAAACCTTGGTTCAAATCTCCACTCAACCATGAAGCTCACTGGGTGAGTTTGGGCCAGCCATTGTCTCTCAGTTTAACCTACCACACATGGTTCTTGGGAGGGTAAAAGGAAAGCAGAATCATGGACACCACCTTGGGATCCTTGGGGAAAGATGGGATACATCCATCATGGCTTTATACTTGATTTAGAACCATAGCATAAATCTTAGTGCGATAAATGAGGTTAGAATATTGCTTTGAAATACCCTAACCCTAACCCTAAAGGAATGATCTGAACAAGGATAGTCAACAAAAAAAATGACTTCTTTCAATATTACAATATGACCAATGTTCTTATTTTTTCTTTCTTTGTTATGTATTATACTGTACTGAAATTTATGTATAAAAAAATGAAATAAAACATTCAGGGCAGAGGGATCTCCCCACTGGCTACCTACAAAGCTTAGAAGAAGTTTCCTCTTAGTGCCAATGGGAACTTTTTACTTAATCCCTGAGGTCATCTGGGGGAAGCAGGTTTTTAATCCAGATTATGGCTGGATATGAATTGAGACTCTGTGTGTCTGAAACTAATAAAAAAGAAAAGAAAAGACAGAGAGATCCTTGCTCCATGTAACTTTACCCACATTTACTTGGAAGTAATGACCAGTTCATGCAATCATCAGACTCAATCGTCATGGTTTTCCAGGATGATACCATTTCATTTTCTTATTGTAGATTTTAAATGAAATTTACCGACATCTTGTAAGCTTATCAATCACATGATCATAATGATGATGATATGTAAGCTATTTGTTTCAACAAAAGACAATGTGGGAGACATTACAGTTGCAAATGGATAAGACAGATGATTACGATAACCGAAATGAGGTAAGTAACTTAATAACCAAGATGCAATCTAAGATGATGAAGACAAAGTGGATAATGATTAGATAAGAAGGTAGAGGAAACATCTAAAGAACCAGAGATAGGCTTACATTATAGAGCGTAGAAGTTAAGATTAGATCTGTTAAGATTAGACAGACATTGTTTACTGATTCCATTACTGGTAAATGACCTGAAGAGTCACATCTCAGAATTCTATTGAGGACCCTGTGGTTTGACCTCATATTTTGTAAGTCAAAACCACAAACAATCTTGGAAAATATTTGGCCTTCTGAAAAAGAGAAAGCCGGTTGAGGGGTGGACATCACTACTGAGAGATTTAAAGAGGTCTTCATTTTATCTTGGTGATATCAGCATAACTTTGTCTGTAATGCTGGTCTGATTCAAATTCTATTTATTGTGGTAGATTGATCTATGTGTCCATATGTCATACATTATCCTCCTTTCAGTTGTTACACAACAGTGACAGGTGTGAGCTTGGCGTATAATGTCCTGAAAATGTTTCATGGCTGAAGTTAGCTGGTCAAGCAATGTTAAGATTCTGAGGTAAAGAGTCATAACCTCTCTTTGCTTTTAGATCTTCCTGACTAATTGCTCAGGGCAATTGTGTTCCAAGGATGTCTTTGATGGTAACCAACAGGCACACCCCACAACGAGTTTTTCTCATTTTAAACTGACCACCTTGAAAATCTGTGCAATTTGGGTTTTCAGAGTTCACCCTGCTACAACAAAAATGCTATGTTTGTGCAGTGAGGGTAGTTTCAAACCTGCCTGAGCCATCGTTTAAATGTTAGGTTGGATCACAACTAAAGCTTATGCATTTTCAAGTCAGAGAATCCTAATGTTTCTGAACTTCCACTGAACGAGTTCTGGACAAAAATATTCCATTTCTTAGGTAAGCCCTATTTGAATCAGGCTAAGTGAGACTGATTGTTACGATCTGTCCAACTGAACATCTTCTTTAAGTCTCATTACATGGTAAATTGCAGTGATTTTCATTTTTGAGTTCTTATTAAAGCCACAAGCTTGCATAGTAAGGTTTAGGGATCTTATAGGTATAGTGGAGTCCAGTGGGGAGTGAGGGAAGAATAGACTTTTGAAGCTGGAAGTATGACACTCTGTGAGACCATTAAATTTAATCCTTTCTTCAGACTCACTCCAGGGGTGATTTCAATTAAATTTGTTCAAAATGTATCAGTTTCCTGCATGTAGATATAAATGATTCAACACCGCATACATATTCACTGAGTAAGTAAGAACGTATTGAAGGGTACTTATTGTTACAACATTTTTGCAGTTTCTCAATAAATTCACTTAATAGGACTTTCCATTATTTAAAACGCTTGTTCTTCACACTCAATCTTCTTGTTGTTCCTTGAAAATAAGATATCGTTGGCTATGCAAATTTTTAAGAGACTCCTGAGCAACCAAAATTGCCCTTTTCCTTGGCCTGCTGATACCGCCATGATATTTGACAGAGGAAAAAGAAATGTGGCAATTGAGATATCAATGTCACTATAACAACAGGATTTGGTGAATAACTTGCGCCAAATAATTTTATTCTGTCAGTAAATGACTATACCAGAACTCGGCTTTCAACTTTCAGATCAGAAGAGGAAATTGATTGATTCAATCCAGGCCTACACTTGTAACTTTCTTCACAGACCTTCACCCACCTTCCTGTTACTTTTTAAAAAATAAATAATGATTTTTATTAATTTTTCTGTTTTACAATTTTGGATAAACATTTTACATACTTAAGATATCAGTGACTTCCCTTCTTCTCTTTCCATGGTTCATTTTACATATCTTATATCCCTGCATTTTTTACAAAACCTATACCAATCAGTTTTCCGTTATTGCATCCATCAAAACTTATTTACATTGTTGAATTTATCTTAATGCTGCCAGCGTTTTCAGCTGGATGCAATTATTTTCCATATATTGAATAAATGTTTTCCAATCTACTTTAAACATGTGTTCTTCTTGTTCTCTTATTCTATATGTTAAAACAAAATAAAAAATAAATAAAATTCCTTCCAGTTGCACCTTAGAGACCAACTAAGTTTGTTATTGGTATGAGCTTTCGTGTGCACGCACATTTCTTCAGATCTGAAGAATCTGAAGAAGTGTGCATGCACACGAAAGCTCTTACCAATAAAAAACTTCGTTGGTCTCCAAGGTGCACCTGGAAGGAATTTTTTTATTTTTTATTTTGTTTTGACTATAGCAGACCAACTGCTAGATCTATATGTTAAGTCTGCAAATTGTGTGTATTCTGTCAACGTAAGTTGCCAATCTTCTTTGGTTGGGACCTACCTTCCCAACATTTATGGCATCCTACTAAGTTGGTTGACTGGAACTGTCCTCCTAAAAGGATGTCTACATATGCTTCAATTGTCCCTATTTGCAAGTGATAGCAGCCACGAAATTAAAAGACGCCTGCTTCTTGGGATAAAAGCAATGACAAACCTAGACAGCATCTTAAAAAGCAGAGACATCACATTGCCAACAAAGGTCCGTATAGTTAAAGCGATGGTTTTCCCCGTAGTGATGTATGGAAGTGAGAGCTGGACCATAAAGAAAGCTGTTCTCCGAAGAATTGATGCTTTTGAATTATGGTGCTGGAGGAGACTCTTGAGAGTCCCATGGACTGCAGGAAGATCAAACCTATCCATTCTTAAGGAAATCAGCCCTGAGTGCTCACTGGAAGAACAGATCCTGAAGCTGAGACTCCAAAACTTTGGCCACCTCATGAGAAGAGAAGACTCCCTGGAAAAGACCCTGATGTTGGGAAAGATGGAGGGCACAAGGAGAAGGGCACGACAGAGGACGAGATGGTTGGACAGTGTTCTCGAAGCTACAAACATGAATCTGACCAAACTGCCGGAGGCAGTGGAGGACAGGAGTGCCTGGCATGCTCTGGTCCATGGGGTCACAAAGAGTCGGACACGACTAAACGACTAAACAGCAACAACAACAACAACAACAACAACAACAACAACAACAAGCCCCTGGCTTTGCACCTTGTCCCTGGTAAATCATAGACTCATAGAATGGTAGAGTTGGAAGCGGGGACAAGGGTCAACTCATTCAACCCCCCGCCATGCAGGAATGTTTTGCCCTACATGGGGCTTGAACCCACAACCCTGAGATTAATGGGTCTCATGCTCTACCTACTAAGCTATCTGTATAGGGACACTTTTTTTTAAATACAGCATCCACTCCCAGAGGGAAATTAAAGGCTTGTTCATACCAGAGTTTATTGTGTGTGTGTTCGCATTGATTTGCTTATTGCACATGACACAATCCTCAAGCAACATTAATCTTGATGCTTCTCCCCTGTAAATCCTGGTTTACCTGAAAAGCTGGGGGAAATTGGGGTCCAAACCACTCCACTCAGGGTCACAGATTATTTGTGTAGGTCATAGGAAGCAGGAAGATTCCTGCTTGGCAGGGGGTTGGACTCGATGGCCCTTGTGGTCTATTCCAACTCTATGATTCTATGATTCTAAGTAGATAGATTATCCCTTTCTGCTACTCCCCCTTCCATGTCTACTATTATAGCTATACAGTGGTACCTCAGGTTACATACGCTTCAGGTTACATATGCTTCAGGTTACAGACTCCGCTAACCCAGAAATAGTGCTTCAGGTTAAGAACTTTACTTCAGGATGAGAACAGAAATCGTGCACCGGCGGCACAGCGGCAGCGGGAGGCCCCATTAGCTAAAATGGTGCTTCAGGTTAAGAACAGTTTCAGGTTAAGAACAGACCTCTGGAATGAATTAAGTACTTAACCCGAGGTACCACTGTACTCATAACTATTTCTGATGCACTTCTGGAAAGAGGGTCCCCCCCCCTACTTTTTTCTACTGATCCTTCAGATTTGCACAAAACCAGAAAACTGCAGAAAGAATTTTCAGTTGCCTGACTCTATGCTTTCAAAAGCATGGTGCACAAATGCCCTGTTAGTACTTAATGTGGGAATGTTGTAGATACTAGGAGAGGATATATTGATTTAATAGCATCCTTCCTAACTCACCCTTGTGAGTCAGCAGCAGAGTGCATTCCCCAATGCACTCTCTTGAAATCTCTTTATTTAAGCAATCCAATCTGGCTTCGTTCAGATTGGGTTTGGTTCCTGGTAAGTCCCCTATTATCCCTCCTAAAAAGAATAAAGACACAAGAAGCTTCTTTTAAAAGTATAACAAGAAGTTTACCCACCTTCAGTTCACAGTTGGATCCCTGAAGGTAGGCTTTAGCTTAGAGTTACAGATACAGTGTGGCTTACATCCTTGTAAGGCGGTGCAGTCCAAGAGAAGAAATGGCTTCAAGAGGAAGAATAGTCGAAAGAGAGAGAGATGGCTGCATGACTGGACCTTTTGTTAGGTCTGCAAGGGTCACGCCCACCTACCTGGTCACATGCAGGGGGAGGATGCTCCAGACCAGGTGTAACAGGAAGTTCAACTGGCTGGATCAACATCCCCCTGTCTGTGTCCACTCTAGGCAAACAAGGAATGTTGTATTTGACTGCTGTGGGGATTACATCCCACACTTAACTGGCATCAAAATCTCAACAATCAGAAGGCAGGGACAAATGCAAAAGGGAGTGCCTGTGGGTATAAACCAGGGTTCAGGAAACTTTTTCAACAGGGGGCCGGTCCACTGTCCCTCAGACCTTCTGGGGGGGGGGCGGACTATATTTTGAAAAAAGAACGAATTCCTATGTCCCACAAATAACCCAGAGATGCATTTTAAATAAAAGGACACATTCTACTCATGTAAAAACACATTAATTCCCGCACTGTCTGTGGGCCGGATTTAGAAGGCGATGGGGCCGGATCTGGCCCTGGGCCTTAGTTTGCCTACCCACCAGTTTTCAGAGGTGAGAATGCAGCGATGGAGTGCCACAACTGAGAAGGCCCTTCCACAAATTGCTTCATAGGGGGTTTACGCTGGCTACAGCACTCCCAGTAGAGCCTTTAGATATCGTAATCACCACCTATGTGAAATATATATATATCTGTTTACTGCAGGACTGCATTATGCACTTTGGGGGAGGAAGGGGCAGAGGAGGAGGGTGGTACATTCTTTTATAATGTGAAAATTGCAGGGTGGCTTGAAAAATGCTTGTGATTTGGGTGGAGAACATACAGCCTTCCAGATGTTACTGGACTACACATTCCATCAAACATGACCCTGGATTAACAGCTAAATAATGCTGAAATGTCAGCTAGCCCTTAATTAGATGTTTCGCACTCATAGGGAGTAGATGCACTTTTCTTTCTATTTCTGATATTCAGGCTCTGAGTGCCATTGCTTATGTATCCAAAACAGCAACCCCCAAGCACAAGAGGGATATGTCTGCAGGCACGGAGAAATCCCAAGGTTTGCACAAGCACAAAAAGAAAAAGGAGGGAGAAAATCTCATGGGCCAAACCCTTCCCCAACAACCTGATGAAGACTGAGCATGCTCACTGGCCACGGAACGCTAGTTGACTGTTGGAGGAGAAAATGGAAAACTGGGGAGTTGGAGGGGAAGGGAAGGGAGTGCCTGGAATGCTGAAGAACACCACTCTATACAGCAAAATTTTGTTGCGGATCTCACTTTTCCTGATTTTAAAGCTGACATGTGGTAACATGAATAGGCTGTTTGAGCATGATGGATTCAGGCAACCATGTCATGCTTGTAAAAACAGAACCCATGGAGTATCTGTTTTCCCAGATACGTTGGCAAAATTGTTAGGCTGTGCTAATTTGTCCTTGAAACCAAACTGAGGAAAGTGTTATGTACCATTGGTGAGGCCATTGGCACAGCCAGCCTTCTGATGTTACTAGGCTTGTTCTTGGCTTGTTCCTTCACAATAGGTGGGGAGAAAGCCAATTTAGACTCACAAGGGACAGGCTTGGCAGAGAAGGAACCCAGCTGCCAAGCTATGGATTTCTCTTTCCCAATAGTGGTACCTTCAGTTTTGTTGGTCTTTAACCTTTCTTGTTAACAGGAAGCGTAATGTGTCTCGGAGCCAACTTTGTTGCTATAATGTACTGTCCTGGGAAGCATTTTCTTCTAAATTATCTCTAATGATCAAAGATCCAAATCCTGCAATAACATGACTGCGTCATCTTACAGTTGAGACCCAAAGGCCAACAACTTTTCACAAACTGTTCAATACACTTGTGTCTTTTGAAGTTTCCCTTATAACTTGTTCATAACGACTGAATTGTGATCCCAGATTGTGCTTGCAACACACAGTTTGAATTTTGCTAGCTTCTCATATTTTTAAAGATGATTTCCCCCCTTGTGTTAGAAGGACTGGCTTTGGTACTGTAAGGCGTTAAAAGCATCATTGGATATTTCCCTCTTTCTTAATATTAAAGAGGCATAAACCATCATCATCACCATCAGCAATAACATTTTAAAATGGGAGTAAAAGTGAGACACATAGCAAGGTATAAACAAAGGATTACTAAAGATTGTATTTTGTCTGGCTTTCTGACAAAGCGTGTGCTGTCATGCAGGTAAACAGCAGTGAGGCCACTACTGGAGGGGGCAGCTGTGTGACTCCACCCCCCCATGCCGTTTACCATAAATGATGCCACCTCATAGGAAACTTCTAATCATTTTCAGGGCATGGCCGTCTTCTTTGGCCGTAAGCTACGTACTTGAATTCCCTGTGTGCATCTTTGAAAATGCACTCATACAGTACGTGCTTCTTACACAAAGCAGCCGGGTGTTGCTGCCCCGGCAATCTGTTCTGTGCCACTGAGTATTAGGGAAAGATTTGTTTTATACTGAAGTGAAGTCAAGTAGGTGAAAATGCTTGTGTTGGGTATGTTTGTATAAAGCCTACAATCTCTCAGCTGCAAGGGACTCATGTATTGCTAGAGGAGGTTACAAGGGCTGGGTTTGTGCCAAGAGATAGATTTGCCTCCTTGCAGATTTGCCCCCTACAGAAATGACTTTTTCTTTTCCTGTCTATTGCTATCTATCTGTGTGTTGTTATTATTTTACTTATTCCCCCCCCCCCCAGAGAAAGGAGAAAGCAAAAGAGATTTCCAGGCAAGTTGCTGTATTTACATCCAGTGACATGGCAGCCAGACCATTACTTATCAACTCACCATTAAAATTTAATAGATTAGCCATCCATTATTGAAGAATTAATGTTGAGATCCAGCTGTGCTGTCCCACTGCAGTTCACAAGTGCCTGCAAAGATCCTCTGCAGCCTTTCTGGGTTCTTCAGCATCTCTGTTTTATAAAAGAGAAACCAGGTGCGCTTCAACCCTTTACATTTTGTGTGTCTGTTTGCAGATTCACACATACAACTCACATGAAAGATCTGGCGTTCTGTCATCCATCCATATGTCTGACTGTTTGGCACAGTGGTACAGTTAGGTTTTGTGCCTTGCAAAGGAGGCTTATGCCAATTGGTCTTATATTTTTAACAGTTTTAGACACTGGGCTTAACAGTCTTACTGCAGGATGCTCTTTATGTGAATCTTATGTGAATCTGCCCCGCCATCATCATCATCATCATCATCATCATAATAATAATAATAATTTATTATTTATACCCCGCCCATCTGGCTGGGTCTCCCCAGCCACCCTGGGCAGCTTCCAACAAAGTATTAAAATACAGTGGTCTGTTAAACGTTAAAAGCTTCCCTAAACAGGGCTGCCTTCAGATGTCTTCTAAAAGTCTGATAGTTGTTCTTCTCTTTGACATCTGGTGGGAGGGCATTCCACAGGGCGGGTGCCACTACTGAGAAGGCTCTCTGCCTGGTTCCCTGTAACTTAGATTCTCGCAGTGAGGGAAGGCCCTCAGCGCTGGACCTCAGTGTCCGGGCAGAACGATGGGGGTGGAGACGCTCCTTCAGGTATACTGGACTGAGGCTGTTAAGAGCACCAACACTTTGAATTGTGCTCAGAAACATACCCAATGTAGATCTTTCAAGACCGGTGTTATGTGGTCTCGGCAGCCACTCCCAGTCACCAGTCTAGCTGCAGCATTCTGGATTAGTTGTAGTTTCCGGGTCACCTTCAAAGGTAGCCCCACATAGAGCCACATAGAGCCCTAAGGTCAGCTGTTGTGCTCCTCATGTGTGCACCATTGCCTCCTAAGACAAAGTTGGAGGGTGAAACATATGGGGACATTTCTTTTTCAATGCAACTTTTTGGGGTGGTTGATTGCTTTTTTTG